TTATTAGTATTATTATTATTATTAGGATTAATATTATTTTCCCGTGGAAAAAAATAAAAAAAATAGCGCCAGAATTGGGTAAAACATGTATGTCTAAATGTTTACTAGTAGTATTTAAATACAACACGAGCTTGACAGAAGAAGCTTAAAACTGAACTGGAAAGGGCCTACATCGACCTTGACACATACTGGCGGCAAAGGAGCAGGGTGCAATGGATTAGAGAAGGGGACAAAAACACGAGCTTCTTTTATGCTAAAGCCTCCGCCAGAAAAAAGAAGAATTGGGTTCATAGGTTGCGGGACTCAGCCGGTGAGTGGCAAGAGGGGAAGGAGAATATTGAAAAAATCATCACGGAGTACTTCGAGGACTTGTTTCAGACGACTACTCCAGACGAGAGAGAGATTGATGGGGTACTTGAACATCTAGAAGCAAGGATCGATGGTGAGGCTGCTCATCTGCTTTCCCTTCCATTCTCTGCGGATGAGGTAACCCGAGCTATTTCCCAAATGCACCCCACTAAAGCACCTGGTCCAGATGGACTTCCGGTTCTCTTTTTTACTAAATATTGGCATATTTTAGGTGCTAGTGTAATTGATTGTGTCCTTGATTTTCTAAATAACAAGGTTCTTCCCTCCTCGATTAATTTTACCTATATTGTGTTGATCCCCAAAACTTCGAAACCTGAAAGAATGCCTGAATATCGTCCTATCAGCTTATGTAATGTCATTTACAAATTTGGATCTAAAGCTATTGCTAATCGGCTTAAAAAGGTGTTGAACGATATCATTTCACCTACCCAATCCGCTTTTGTGCCTAATCGTTTGATAACCGATAATGTGTTGGTCGCATATGAATTGAACCATTACATTAAGAATAACTCTAGGAAACGATCAAAATATATGGCTATGAAATTAGACATTAGTAAAGCGTATGATCGTATTGAGTGGCCTTTCGTTCGGAAAATTCTGAGCAAATTTGGTTTCCCACAATCGTTGGTGGATTTGGTTATGTTATGTGTGACCACAGTATCTTACTCTTTTCTTTTTAATGGTTCGCAGTGTGGTTCTCTTATCCCGACTCGCGGACTTCGACAAGGCGATCCATTCACCATACTTGTTCATTCTTTGCACAGAGGCTTTGACGGTTATGCTTAACCAATTTACGGAGAGCGGTCGGATACAAGGATTTCGGGTGGCTCCCACGGCTCCGCTTGTACCAAGCCTATGCTTTGCCGATGACACACTAATTTTTTGTCAAGCCTCGGAATCGAATGCTCATGCCTTGCGGGAAATTCTTTACAGATATGAAAGGGTCTCGGGCCAGAAGATCAACCTGGAGAAATCAACGATGACTTTTTGTCCGTCGACATCACCTATCTCGAAAAGCAATATCCACGCCATTCTTGGTTTCCAGATAGTCGAAAAATTCGATAAATACCTCGGTCTCCCGGTCTCGATGGGGCGAACTCGTAAAGCAATCTTTTCTTTTCTTAGAGATAGAGTGTGGTCGCGCATCAAGGGATAGGACTCGAAACAACTCTCAAAGGCGGGGAAGGAGATCCTCATTAAGGCCGTACTTCAAGCAATACCGTCGTACGTCATGTCCTATTTTATCCTCCCACAGGGATTAATCGACGAGATTGAAGCGGCAGTAAGAAAGTTCTGGTGGTCGAATGGCGATGGTAATAAGATGGCTTGGCTAGCTTGGAAAAAACTTTGTCGGCCAAAAGAAGTGGGAGGTATGGGGTTTCGAGATCTCCGAGCTTTCAATTTGGCACTTATCACAAAACAAGCTTGGCGAATCACCACTAGGCCCGAGAGCTTACTATCCCAGATCTTTCGAGCGAAATACTTCCCACAATGTGATTTTTGGTCTGCTTCATTAGGCAATCGCCCATCAGCAACATGGCGAAATATTTTGGCGGCACGTGAACATATCAGAGCGGGCGTTCGAGTTCGGATCGGTAACGGAGAGTCCACCTCAATTTGGAGGGATCCATGGATACAAAATGAAGATCGTCCCACTATCCTAACTCCGAGACCGATACACTCCGCCTTTCCCAACTCAGTCTCAGACATCATAAATCCGAACACAGGTTTGTGGGACCTTGAGCTGCTAAATGAGTGGTTTTGGCATGTGGATATATCACGCATATTATCAGTCTCTATCGGTGGCCCATCTACTCACGATCGTGTGGTTTGGGGCCTCTCAAACACCGGAGTCTTCACGGTGAAAACCTGCTATCACCACATCATGGATCGCCTCTACCACACGAACCGGGTGGGAAATATGACTATTGGAGAAACAAGTGGATCCTCTACACGAAATTGGAAATTAATTTGGCACTTACCAATCCCTCCAAAAATTCGTATTTTTGCCTGGCGAGCTTGTTCAGAGATACTCCCATGCAAGGCGGAGCTATTTCGACGTAAAATAACCACGGAGCCCTTATGCCCTTTCTGTGGCAAGCATGCGGAAACCATGGTGCATGTTGTTTACGAGTGTAACGGCTTGAAAAAATACTGGGCAGCGGAACCTTTCCGAATCAAGCAGGTGGCGGAAAACCTCTCATTTTGGAGCTGGTTTGAGCTCCTCCATAATTCGCTACCAAAGGAAGTCTTCCATCTTTCAGTCATTGCGTGCTGGAAAATGTGGGAGAGGAGAAATCGAATGCTGCATGGCGAGGAATGAATGCAACTCGACGCCATTTTTCCATGGTGTCAAGCTTTTTTGGCAGATTACAGGGACACACAATTCGGCCAACTTACCGTCACAAAGATGATCCAACCAGTTATATGGGCACCGCCACCGAGAGGAACACTTAAAATTAATGTGGACGCGGCTTTCCCTGCAAATGCAGATTATTTCAACGTTTCATTGGTAGCTAGAGACGAAGATGGATTATGTGTGTGGTGGCGAGTGGTACGAATCCGAGGTCGAGTTTCTCCCGCGGAAGGAGAGGCTCAAGCAGTCCGCCAAGCGATTATCACGGCGCACCGTTTTAATTGGAGCTCCATTATATTTGAGGGAGATTGTCTACAGGTTATGGAAGCTCTTCGTTGCGGAGATCATTCCTTCACACCGTTTGGCGCAATTGTTGATGAATGCCTGTTTCTTGCTAGGTCATTTATTTCTTGTTCTTTTAGTTTTATTAAGAGACAAGGAACCAACTTGCTCATGTTCTTGCTTCTCTTACTGTTTCGAATTTTCTAGAAGGGGATTCTTTCCCTTCGTTTTGTTCTGTGCCCTCGGGTGCCTAATAAAATAAACTCTTTCCTCAAAAAAAAAAAAATACAACAGAAATTAAGTTTTTTACATTAATTTAATCTTGTGATTAATATTTTACATGTAAATCAATTTCAAAATAATTGTATATGCGTCGGTCGTGGCTTAGCTATTGTCCTTTTTGGTTTTGCAGATCTTGATCCATATGCCCCAAAATGAAACAATACTTTATTTATTTATTGTTCCAAAATTGGAATTACAGTCAAAATTAGATGAATGCTAAATTGAAGAGTGATTATCAATATGTAAATTAATATTTATTTCATGAATCTTAAATCAAAATTATCAACATTTGTATTACGAAAATTATTATTTATTTCATGAATCCCATTCCAAATTACCAAAATATTAAAAAATAGTAATTAATACCCCTTTGACCTCTCCAAAAAAAAATATATATATATAAATATTCTCTCTCTCTCTCTCACACACACACACACACACTCTTTCTCTCTCTCTCTCTCTCTCTCTCTCTCTCTCTCTCTCTCTCTCTCTCTCTCTCTCTCTCTCTCTCTCTCTCTCTCTCTCTCTCTCACACACACACACACTAATACTATACTATAGTACCACATCAGGCATTCTCTCACTCCTCCACCTACACAACTTTCCAACAAAAATTCCGAAGCACACATAAATTCACACACCCCCACACACCAAAACACACACACACACACCAAAACACACACCGATCATCACACCATGAAAATAGTTGTGCAATAACAGAACCAAAATCAAACCAGGAAAAGAAGAAAAAAAAAATCAAGAAAATGAAACCCTTTTCCTCAAAAATGAAATGAAAACAGCCCCCTCCGACAAACACCACCACCACCACCAAATCCAAGAATCCGACAACAACAACAACATTAAAAAACAATGTCGTCATCTCCTTCCTCCTCTTCATCATCATCTTCATCGGCCACATCGAGAAAAGACGCAGTGTTCATAGTCCTCCTAATAATCCTCTGGTACTCAACAAACATCGGCGTTCTCCTGCTGAACAAATTCCTCCTCTCAAACTACGGATTCGCATTCCCAATCTTCCTCACAATGTGCCACATGTCGGCCTGCGCTATCCTCAGCTACGTCTCCATCATGTTCCTTAAGGTGGTCCCGCCGCAGAGGATCAAATCCCGCTCCCAGTTCCTCAGGATCGCCACCCTCAGCGTCGTCTTCTGCGCCTCCGTCGTCGGCGGCAACATCTCCCTCAAGTACCTTCCGGTGTCGTTCAACCAGGCTGTGGGGGCCACCACCCCCTTCTTCACCGCCCTGTTTGCTTATATGATGACCAGAAAGAGGGAGGCCTGGGCTACTTACACTTGCCTTGTACCTGTTGTTGCTGGTGTTGTCATTGCTAGTGGGGTGAGTGAAAGAGCTTTTTTTTTTCTTACATCTCAATTCTTGAAAAAAGATCAAATTTTTATTTAATTGGAAAAAAAGATTTCGACTTTGTTTTGTATTTTTTGATGGGATGTGATTTTTGTGATGCAATTGTTGGGTGATTGATTTCTTGATTAGGAAAGATCCGATCTTCGATTGCGGGCTTTTTTCGCCTTTGGTGGAAAAAAGATTTCGACTTTGTTGTGTGTTTTTGATGGGATGTGATTTTTGTGATGTTGTTGTTGGGTGATTGTTCTTGATTAAGAAAGATCCGATCTTCGATTGTGGGCTTTTTCGCCTTTTGTGTTTAGTGAGTGTGCTTGCTGAATTGCTTGATTTTTTATGTATCCTAATTTCAAGATTCGATTTTTTATGGTGTCTTGGTTGGTTTGGGAAATGTGGATCAGATCTGAATTCTTGTTTTCTGAATTTCATTGTCTGAAGTCCGACATGCTAATCGATTGGCTTCATGGGATCTGTATAGAATTCAAGTGTAGGGAATGGGAAATTGAACGGGACTCTATTTGTGCTGGCCAATCCATAGATGTAGCTATTGCAATACAATGTTGGTTTTTTAGTTGTTTTTACTTGTCGGTTATCAATCAAACCTTCCAAAGCTCTCGTCCCACATCAAATCCGATCAAATATTCATGTTTCGAGTAGCTTTAAAACCTTTCTTTGAGCTCTCAATTTTCGATCATAGACCGTTTGAGCTTTCGTGACATCTCCACCATCTATAGCTTCCAACAAGAAACTCACGGGTTTTGTAATTGTTTTTTGTCATTGGCTTGCAGGGGGAGCCGAGCTTCCATTTGTACGGATTTATAATGTGTATAGGTGCAACTGCAGCAAGGGCTTTCAAATCCGTGCTTCAAGGCGTCCTCCTTTCGAGTGAAGGGTAAACACAACCGATTCAAACATATATGCCTTATAAATGTTCCCTTTTGGATGGTCTTTTACAAGATACGCGTTTAAAAATTTTGCAGGGAAAAATTGAACTCGATGAATTTGATGCTTTACATGGCTCCGATAGCTGTAGTGGTTTTGCTCCCGGCTGCACTTGTTATGGAGCCGAGTGCATGGGATGTCGTCCTTTCTCTCGGACAAGAACATAAACTCATGTGGATTCTTCTTTTCATTAACTCGACGATGGCTTATGGTGCTAATTTGTGCAATTTCTTGGTCACTAAGCATACTAGTGCTCTCACTCTCCAGGTCATATATTAATCTCTCTCTCTCTCTCTTGAAGTCATTTTGTGAAATCCCCAATTATTTTTCAGGTATTAGGAAATGCTAAAGGGGCAGTGGCTGTTGTAATATCGATTCTTATTTTCCAAAACCCCGTGACGTTTATCGGTATAGCTGGCTATACAATGACTGTAATGGGAGTCGTCGCTTACGGTGAATCAAAGAGGAGATACAAATGAGAGCTTCCATTGTGCTAATCCTTTCATTCGGGAGCACTTTTGGGAAGAAAATCAAATGTTTAGAGAGATTAATTCGATACATACTTTTTTTTTCCCTTTTTCTTTTTTTAATTAAGTTCGTATAGGATGGATGTAACCTAGTTTTATCCGAAAATGTTGTACTACATGTTCATTAGTAATGTTTAGGTTTATTGAGGTTGTTCTCACATGTTCTGTACCTTGTACCTGCTCTAATTCTACCTCAAAAATGCTTTTGATTGCGAAGAATGTTCTAGAAGCATGAGTTTGGGTATAAAATACCGAAAGCAACCAGAATTTCGATAACTAAAAAGCTCCGTAAAATACATTTGAAACATTATTATATTTTAATTTGCATTTACAAAGATTTAATTACAGATGTAAACATTCCAGAAAAATGAAAAAGACCAATTATTTGTATTTTCAAAAAAAAATCCAATTTGTTCTTAACTTATTAAAAAAGATCAAGAAACATAAAACCAACCAAAAAAAAAAAAAAGAGGAATATTCCAAAAAATGTAACTCAAGAATAAATACCCAAATATGTGAATCTTTGATAAAATATTCCATTTATGCTAGGTCTGGACCACTTGGAAGAGGCTCATAACCATCATGCTGTTTCTCGGAATCAACGTTATGCTTCGATTTTCCAACAGGAATGCACTTCAGTACAACCGCAATCGGCATTCCCACTGCACCTATCGCAACACTTAGTGCCCACAGCTGCCAGCTCAGCGGAACTGTGCTGGCAAAAGTGCCCAAAAACTCGACTATCACAATCTGGAACGCCACCGTGGCAAACATGATTCCCGAGAATATCCAATTCGAAAACATCCCTCGGAATATATTTATCTTCTCAATATCCCTGCTGTTTATTTCGTTGAATACCTGAGCAAAACAACATTCGTTTTAGTTTCTTGACCGTCAAGAAACGTTTTTAACTTTTTTTTTTTCATACCTGGCAAAAGACGAAGGCGTTGAATATGAAAGTGTTGAGTACTGCAGTGGCATCAGATCCTGTGAGCCCCAGTAATTGCTTCCCCTCGAAAGTGAGGACGAGAAGAAGAGACAGCTGGTAAATGCTCTGACCAACGATGTTCCGCCACATGGTCCTTGTAATGAAACTTTCGGTTCTCCCGACAGGTGGCCTCTCCATCAGCCTGTCGTGTGGGGGCTCGGTGGCGAGTGCAAGTGCACCTAATGTGTCCATTATCAGGTTTACCCAGAGCAACTGCACCGCTGTAAGTGGCGCTGATCCTGTAGATAGAAAAAGAGGAAAGATAAATTAAAAAAAAAAAGATTAATGGAGATCAAGAAAATTTGAAAACCAAAAAATAAAAAATAAAATAAAAAAAGAAGGAAACCTGTGATACAAGCAGCTATAAAGTTGATCATGAGGGCAACAATATTAACAGTCAACTGGAACTGAACGAATTTCTGAATGTTGATATAAACGGAACGACCCCATTTCGCCACGTTCACAATAGTTGCAAAATTGTCGTCCAGCACAATCACATCAGCACTTTCTTTTGCAACCTGATAGGATTATTTAATCCGTAATTAAGTGATTATTATTTTAATTTAAATATGAGTACATATATATATATATATATATATATATATATATATATATATATATATATATATAAACACGAACCTCTGTTCCTGCAATGCCCATGGCAAATCCAATATCGGCCTCATGCAAAGCAGGAGCATCGTTCGTACCATCACCAGTTACAGCAACCACCTCTCTAAGAATGCTCCTCGAAATCTTCACCAGAACATGCTTGTCTGTAGGCGAAGACCGCGCCATAACCTAAGTCCAAGAATCTTTTAATTCAGACAATAAATTCAAAATAAAATAAAAAAAGGTGTTTCTTCCTTCACCTTAAGCTTTGGTATTATTTGGCTCATCTCATAAGGAGTCTTCGTACGAAATTCCGGACCTTCTATAGCAAGATCATCATCCGTAAGTATGCCACATTCTCTAGCAATAGCTTTAGCTGTATTTATATTATCGCCGGTAATCATACGCACGGTAATTCCAGCGGCTAAACAGCTTTTCACTGCTTCCTTCACTCCAGGGCGAACGGGGTCTTTTATTCCCACTATTGCAATCAGTGTATATCCACTCTCGGGTACACTAATCTCGTTCGAACCATCATTATCAAAGTCCTTGAAAGCTAAGCAGAGCGTACGCAGAGCTTCACATGCAAAACCATTGATGACATCCAATAAATCACTTGCTCGTTCTTCAGACAAATAAACAGTTTCCCCCTCTGAACTAATAACCGTATCGCACATTTTTAGTATAATCTCGGACGCACCTTTGCAGAAACCTCGTTTACTGCCATCCGGAAGAGCCACAATTACAGACATCCTTTTCTTTTCGGAATTGAACGGCTCAACTTTCAAGAACTCGCACGCTCGTCTTTCTTCATCAAAGTTGCCACCCAGGCGCAAACCGTATTCGAGTATGGCCGATTCTGTAGGCGTGCCTAAAATGGATGTCTTTCCGTCTTTATCAGTGACCACCTCCGAACCCGTGTTGTTGAATATCGATTGCAAGAGAACGGCTAATACTTTTTCCGATATATTGGAAGCTAACGACAATTTGCTGCTTTCGTTAGAATCTACCTCTTTTACCGTTCCGCAAATCCACGTTTTACTCACTACCATATGGTTTGTGGTCAACGTACCTGTTTTATCTGTGCAAATTGTAGTAGCAGAACCCATAGTCTCACAAGCAGATAAGTGTCTCACAAGTGCTTTATCATTCATAAGTTTCTTCATGGCAAATGCAAGACTTAGTGTAACAGCCAACGGCAAACCTTCCGGAACTGCAACGACAATTATAGTCACCGCAGTTGCAAAGTAGTTCAAAAGAGTCAACGCATCGGCCGAGGACCAAATGGTAATTTCATTTCGAAGCCCTTTTTCGATCAAGAATCTTACAGTCAAGACCGAGAAAGTCGCCACAGCAAACACCAGTCCGATTTTACCAATAATTGTAGCAACCCCGTTTAGCTTCACCTGCAATGGAGTCTCATCTTCTCCACCTTCACTCAGAGTTTCCATCAACTTTCCCCACTCTGTTCTCATACCAACAGTAGTCACAAGCATCTTACCTGACCCATCTTGAACTTTTGTACCCGCTAAAAGAAACGGTCTTTTTTCCTGTATGTTAATCGGTACACTTTCACCAGTCAAACTTGACTGGTCAATCAACAAACTGTACCCCGATACAAATATCCCATCTGCCGGAACTTGATCTCCGATCGAAAGATGGACAATATCTCCAACAACCAAATCGAATATGGATATCTTCTGTCGAAATCCATCTCTAATGACTTGCACGAAAATCTTCTTCTTCTCTTTGTCCAACTCTTTGAACTGCAACGACTGCTTGTAGTCACTAACTGCAGTTACCATAACCACAAGGAATATACTGAAAATAATTCCTACCCCGTCATACATTCCTCTCGGCCAACCTTCGGTGGCTAATCCAACCGCAATAGACACCACAGCGCAAACTATAAGGATAATAAGTGTTAAATCATGCAAAGCTTCCCACACGAACATCCAAAAGCTTTTAGAAGGCTTCTCAGTGTAGGAATTTTGGCCGAATATATTTTGCCTTGTGGGAACATCGTTTGTGTTCACTCCTTTAACTAGTGAAACATTCAATCTGTCTGAAAGTCCTTCGACTCCTTTGAGTTTTCTTAATGTCTTGATATCGTAAGAAGAAACAATGGATGCCAGTTTGTCCGGGTGGACTTGAAACCCTGCCCGTTTAGCTTCTTCGGGTAGCCCGTTCTGGTAGTCCGGTTCCACTTCTTGTTCAACGGGTACACTTGAGCCTTCTGAGGGAATGAATTTGCCTTGTCCAGCCACTGTATGAGACACAGAACACAAGTTGTGGAAATTAGACGGTAAAAAACTGTTCTCATCTTGCATGGTGTAACTAAGATAACGGCCAACACGACGAGGAATATACCTTCCATAAACCTGAGAGCTGCTTTGAAAGTCACAAAACAAACACGTATATTTTCCTGGTGAAAACGAACAGCGAAAAGAAGTGTTATTAGACACAGGATGGGACACAAAAAAGGCAGTAAACTTTCACCAACACAACAAAAACCGAACATTTATAATTACTATATTATTACAATATATTATGTTATATTTATATTTGGTAAGAACAATACAAACACACAGTTATTCTATATAAGTTGTTAGAATCCAGTACAAAAGATTATATTCTTCCCGAATAATCAAAAAATAAAACCAATTGTGCAGATTTAACTATTTCTTCCACCAGTATCAAAATGGACACCTAAAAGTAAAACAAACTAACACATCCAAAGGTATAGATTTATGTTCATTTTCTAAAGAACATCTAGTTCTTTCTGCAAGCACATATCATAGAAAAAATAAATTTTCATGCTTAAAATAAAGAAATGTGCAAAACTAATCTGTCAAAACCTAGTTTGTTCAAGGATTCAAAAGCTAACTCAAGAAGAGAAATTGTCCATTATGTGAGTCCAACAGTACAGCCAACTAACAAAACGACTCATATAGGTTAATACTCAATAAATTAATAACCCTGTTTAAATAATATGTTTTCGGCCCCAACTTTTGAGGATAACGTGTTAAAAAAATATTATTTCGTCGCTAAATTAATAGAATTTGGTTGCTCTCGACTGTATTAATTTATAGAGGTTTTAACTGTATTTTGAAATCTACTATAATGATTTAAAAAATAATTTAAAATAAAAATTAATGATTTTGTAATTTATTATCAAAATTAAATTCAATGAAACTTTTCTTGTGAATTTGAACAAGGTGTAGTAGCATGACCATGACTAAACAGCATTTTATGGTATATTCGTCAAAGGTCAAAAGCGATTAATGCGCGTCCAATGGAAACAGTTGAAAAATAAATGGGAGAGCGTTACACGTCATTCAACGCTTTTTATTTTTAGATTTCTACCAATTAACAATTTCTCCTGAATTTCCGGAAATACCCTCGTCGAGAACACTAAACCACATATAAAACTAAACTCTTCAAGGGTTAGGACTAACCCCACCAAATTCAGTATCCACTAACCGCGGACACTTTCAAGCAGAAGAAAACAAAGGGAAACGTTCTTATTATTTACTTTCTGGAATAAATAAATATAAATATATTCAGTAAAAAAAAAGATTAAAATTGAAATTTTCTCTAATAACTACAAAAATTATGATTTAATTTTTGGATTTTTACGATTGATACGATCGAGATTCCATGATCTGCGGAGATGAATTTCTCAGAACAAATTTTGATGAAATTAATTTATTTTCTTCGATTAATGGATTTTTTTTAAATCAAAAAAAAAAAAATTGGGCGAGTGCTGCAAATCTGAAAAGCAATTTAATTTTTCAAATCAGAAAAAAAAATTGAGGAACTGTACGTACTCTGAGTCGCTTCATCTGTTCCTTCGCTTCCGAGCGCTTCTCGAGGTCGGCGGCGTAACGAAACCTTCTGCGGCGGTTCTTCACCAATTTTCCGACGGCTGCGCGCCATCGTTTCACCGCCTCCTCCGACCGCCCCTTCTGCGGCAAATCGAACTCCGGCGGAATCATGAACTTCTCCATTAGAGATCCTCTCACCCTCTCTCAGCAATACTGCGAGTTCCGCCAACAGTCGTATATGAACTTGTATCTATACGTATATATATGTATACACGCACAAACACACACAGTAGTAGTGGGCGAGGAGTCGTCAGAGTAAACAAGGGGGGGCAGCCCACTTGAAACGAATGGACAGAGTAAAGAAATCCACACGCGCTAATGTACATTCTCTTTTTGGCCCCCGGCATCTCTCTTTTCGTATAATTTACACTTTGCTCCCTTAAGTTTTAATAGTTCCTATTTTGCAACTTAATTATTTTCTTTAATTTGTAGTTTTGTACACCACATTGTATTAACCATATTTGACAAACTCCACATAACTAACTGTTCGCAAATGAATTCGAACTTTGATCAATTAACACGAGCTCATATGCTCCAATCGTTAGATTATCCCTTGCAGGGATCGATTATGTCTATTTCGAACCAAATTTTACGGCAATTGGTCAATGGAATAAATTGTATACCTCAATTATAAAGATAAGAAAGTATACATGCAATTACTGTTATGATAAATTGTTTAATTTAGTCCCCAAGTTTGACAGATCACAACGGCCACATAACAAAACTTTATGGAAATCGTTATTAAAAAAGCCAAAGTAGAAATTATATATTAATTCGATCGGATCGATGAATTATTTTGTAATATTATAAACTTTTGGATGGTACAAAATTATGTGTATATATATATTTATATTGTGTTCACAACTAGCATATGGCAAGATCATGACCTATATAGATAGACATTCCACTTATAATAGTGATTGTCCACATGTATTGGAATAAATTTTTTAAAATAATTCTTAAATATGTAATATAATACTACTCTATTCATTTTTAAATTAATTATCGAATTGATGCTCAAGTATTAATGTGTATATATATGTATGTATATACTATATATGTTATCTTGATTTGTTGTATTCACATCCTTACAAATTATTAATAAAAATAAAAGTATTGTTGCAGCCGAAACGGACAAGAGGTAAAGGTATATTTTTAGCTTTTTCATTGCATATAATTCAAAAATAAATCAACTATTGTTAAACTTAAATCTATAGTGGAAGAAAAAGTTTCCATTTTTCTATATTAAAATTAAAAATTATGGCTATGAACCTCTCTAATTAGAGAAATTGCAAAAATACCCCTCTATAATGAAAATTAGCATAAAACTCTTAATATTGCAAAACAATTCCCTTTTCTTTTAGTCCAATCACCTAATAGTGGATACAAGCTAATGGTAATACACTTTTTTTTGCTAAAATTGATCAATTTGACGGTCTATGAGATGTTATACCTGGTGAAATACATCGGGTGATTCTACAGCATTGATCTATACAAAACAGTACCCACCAAACACACATATACATAGGTCAGGATCACCCACTATATTTCACCGAGTGTAGCATCTAAAAAACCATGAATACATATTTCACCATATGGATTGAAACTTCAAAGCAATTTGTACATCTAAACGTGCCTCCCATTTTTCCTTCTTTATTTCTAAAAGGGGTTTACTTTTTTCTTTTTGGGGGGATTGTTTATCTCCCACTAACTATGATTAGTTAGTATTATTAATATATTTATACCATCAAAATCAATGATTTTTTGTTTTTCAAGATTTGCACAAGATTTTATAGAAATTAAAAGGAGGAAAGGTAAATCCTAGTGGCCAATGAGCAATGAAATCCTTTTATGCCCACAAACATGCCGTTGACTAAAGATTAACCTTTTATTTCAATAGAATCTACAAGAGGACCAAATAGACACTAAGCTACAACATTAAGGACCACCACACTACCCAATCTAAAACTCGAGGACTGAAAAGTAGTATTTCAATAGTTATGGACCGTAATGCAATTGTTGCAAGATGTACCTACACTACATATACCAAAATACACATTTTACGCTCATCCGCATACACATAAATGTGTAAATTTACGTTAAATTACAATTACCTCCCTGAGGTAAAGTGCAATTACAAAAAACCCTTTTTTGAGAAGTTACATCCAGCCCCTTGCAGTTTGTAAATTTCTTACATATCCCCCTACAAAAGGGTGTTAATGTAAGAAATCTACAAATTGTAGGGGGGTTGATGTAATTATGGAAAAATGATGGGGTTGCGATTGTAATTGCCGTACAATATATCAACGAAAGGGAAAGCAAGTACACAACTGCTAGTAAATGCAATTTACGACACCTTAAACACTAATAATTTCCATTAAAAGACCCGGAAAGTGACTTTCGAGCTACTATGCCTCCTGCCTCTGGGTACAGGACAACTTGTCTCCCCCCCATTAAAGGGATCGAATCGTAATTACCAAAAAATTGCGGGGTGGGCGGAGGGGTATAAGTGAAAATTCTTGCTTCTACATCGTTGCATCTCATAATTTTATTTTCCTAACATGGGTCCACGTGAAACTTATGGACAAATCTATCACATGCTACACCCAATATATACATTTATATATGCAGCTTATAACAATATGTATCTTGTTAAGAATTTATTGCATTTATCTTCATGTGTTATATCGAATTGCCAAAAAACTCCTCGTGCTATAAATATTTGGATAAAAACCCCTGCGATGCATTCTTTTAGCACACGACCCCCTAAATGGTGAGTTTTTAGGGGGTTAGTTTGCTAAAAAATTGCATCATAGGGAAGTTTTTGTTAATATTTATACCACGGTGGGTTTTTTAACAATTAAAATAAACAAATGGGAGTCAAATGCAATAAACCCTAAAAACAAAAGTAGCAGAATCCTATGTGCACTATCAATGGATGAAGTGCAAGAAAACGAAGCTTCCGTAGTCACATCTACACTAGTGAGAACTCTTGTTATTTTTAAATAAGTGACTAACAAAGAGCATCCAATCCTTATCCTGAATATATTCTGGACCATTTTATCGACAACCCCACCAATAAACAAAAAAAAAAAACGAGACTTGAAAATAAATGTAGCAGAAAAATCTCCGATTTGGCCTTTCCGAAAAAGATTCATCATGCCTCAATAATGTGAAAGTAAAGAGGTGGTCAAAACTGTAAATTGAACACAAATTACTTACGGCATTTATGGGCTAGGGTCGAGAATCTGTAATGGAAAAATTTGAAGGTAAAACGAGGTTGCTCCAATTTGTATGTATAACGTACACATCACTCGTGTTCGACCAACATGTCTTTTAGCTTCTGCAACCATCCCATGTATTGACCATGCTCTTTCTTGTGTAAGTGAAGGAGTAGCGAGTTGGTAAAGTTCTCTTCAATTCCTCTCGTCGCAAGATATTTTCTCAGCTCGTTTTGTAAAGTGGGGTCCAAATCACTGCATAGGGATGTGAAAATGGTATCGAAAAAAGCATTTCGTAACGCTTTATAACTTGTATGTATATATATTTATTCTTAAGTTTCGAAAGACCAACAAAATGGATTTTTCTCATATGGAAAAACTCCCATTCATGCAAATATTTGCTCGACTCAAAGACAATGAACGGGAACTCATTTCTGGACATAAAAAGAAGAAATGGGGCCCAAATCAATAACATAGACAGATTCATGCAGTAAGTAAAACCGTAAAATGTTTAAAAAATTAGACATTTATACGACGGTAGAAAAAACGGGAAACCCAAACTCTCAACAGGCCATAATATATATACATCAAACCATCTATTTTTCTTCGACATTATTAGTCAACATAAAAACAACACTATCGAATGAAACTGAAATAGAAGAATACCTGAATAATGGACCTCTATAAATTGAAGAATCGAGGCACGACGAAGATGACGGGAAGTAATGTGCACTCTGAATTTCGATATCAGATTCACTACCTTCTCTGTTAGATGCCACACAGTCAAACTGCAAGATAGAGCTCAAACCGGGCTTCTTTACGCATATTTTCATCAAAGCTTCCATCGGAAATCTGCCGCTTCCTTGAAAGGTCTCGCGGCCCAACAATGCTGAGACGGCAACTTCTTCACCCGAGGAACATTTTTTTCGTAAAACGATATCTTGTGACTTTGGAGAATCCCATTCCATTACAAAATCTCCAAACGAACCAATTTTGTCATCCTATATCCATATCAACCGACAAAATGTTTAGATTATAACCTAGTTGTTCATTTAAATCAAGTGGAGACCACAGATTATTGCAAGTCGTAAGACAATCAAAACGTGTTTTTCTTTTAACGCGGACATATTTTTTACAGTGAAATCTTTCGGAAAATTACTACACTATTCGATTTTCTTGATGAAGAACCGAACAAAGGTAGAAGTTTTAACTGATTACATTGTTCTCAAGTTTTGTTGTGCCACATAAAACATAATGTGGCATTCTCGAAACCTCGGAAAGGAAACCGAAACCGAAACCATCGAAACCACCTTCCACATTAACTAAATCAAAAATCAATCTCTAACAGTAACTTTTTTTATCAGAAGCATCAACAAACCAACACCAGAGCTAAGAATTTAGACCAAGGGTACAAGCATCGAAACAATGGCGAAATTTTTGTGCTTTCAAATAAAAAATACACATCAAATGATTCAAAAACCAAAGAGGATGGAAATTATGATTGGAGGAGAAATTAACCTGGTAGCGCATAGAGGAGAGTTCGTGGTTGAGCTCCGATTCTAAGATTTTCAGCAAATCCAAATCCTGAATCGATTTACGAGCTGTGCGCAGAATCTGTGTCACTCTCGGCATTGTAATCGAATCCGAGTTCTACTGTGGAATTTGGGGGTTTCAAATCAGGTAATGAATTTGAGCCCTAATTTGTGTTTGTGTTGCCAAAACAATTTGGAATGGTTTAATATTCTTTTCTTAAATATGAAAGTTATATACATAATAAAATTTTATATTAATTTTTGTAATGTTATTAACTTTAATTTAAATTTCCATGAAAGAATTTAAAAAAAATCGTACAAAAAGATTATTTTTGCCAAGTGTAATATTATTTCTAGGCACTTATTTTAAAATACCATAAACTTTTAAACCTTCGAAATAATAGAAGTTCGAAACTAGGAAATAAACTGTCTTTTTGTACATGAGAAATAATAAATGAAATATTTTAGCTCTCCAACATGTCCCATAAAGTGAAAATATGTAAATACTTAATTTATTTACACTAATATATTTATTTGGAAAACGAAAATTTCAAATAGTTTTTATATAGGGATGTGATAAATGTCGTTCGAGCTTTAATAATACACGTGTCCGTTTCAGAGAATCCGATTTCAATTTTAGTCCGAATTAAACTTGCTCCAAATAGTAAGGACCCAAAAATACAACACGAGTAAAAAAAAAAAAAGCTTGTAACACAAGAAATTCGGACAGCAACACGTGGTGAATCTTAATACAAAACCTTATTAATTTATTTTTATTTTCTTTCCAAGATTATATATTATTTCCTGTGTCTATATATTTATTATAAGCTTCTGGGGTTCTTGTTGATTGTTTTCTCGTGTCAAACAAAAAAAAAAAAAAAAAAAAACAAACAAATATGAGGCTTAGTGAGAATTTTTGGGTGAATTATATGGTGGGTTTTGGGATAGGTACTTTGTTGTATCATACGTTATTCGACAAACATGGGGACAAAATAACCGTTAAGAAAAGTGTGGCGGCGGCTGGTAATTGGATTCGCCAAGTACCCGTTAAAAAAAGATTGACGGAGGCCGGTAATTGGATTTGTCACAATTTATTTTACGAACTCGAGTCGAACAACCCCGTTCCGTCAACAACAGCAACCTCTCACCAAAATGCCGTTCAAAGAACGCCGCCGCCTGTGCTTCCGGTGGATGATGAGGGTTTGTAACCATTATTCTCCAAATTTCGTTTCGTTTTTTTTTTTTTTTTTTTTTTTTTATTATAGAATAATGAACTAATTTTTTCGAGTGTTTTTATTCCTTAGAATTGATTATGGAAACAAGAGAAGTGTCGCCCACACAGTTTTTTACCAAGATTGAGGGTGCGTTTGATAAGATTAAGCACTGAATGCTGAATGCTGAAAACATATCTGAATGACTAAGAGTTGTTTAGGTATACTGAATGCTGAACCATTAAGCTCATTTGATAGCTGAAGACAAGTAATGTCTGAATAATGTTATTTTACCATTATAGCCTTGGTGAAATTCTAAAATATTCTGTTAATTAAATTATGAGCAACATATTTGTATAAACGGAATTATTTTTGCTTGATTAACTTAATTAGCGAAGTATGAATTTTTAGTGGATATCAAACATCTTTACAATTATAAAAAAATTGGAAATATAAATGCCAAACAAATAGAGAAAAAAAAGTAACCTTTTAAAATAAAACAGCTAAAAGTAACATTGTCTCGTCGTGTAGGGTTTTCGAAAATATTAACATAGAAATTTTAGGTTGAAGAAAAAAAATCAATCGTTTAAAATAGAATAATAAAAAAAAAAGTAGAATAATAAACAAGGAATAGATTAGTTAATTTGATTAAGGGTAAATATATCCAAATCACATTCAGACATTGGACTGATTCGGTCAGCACCTATCTTTGGGCTGAACCATTAAGAGTCATTTGCACTCATTCAGATGTCATCACCAAATGTACTGAATAGTCCATAAAGGTTTGTCGTTTACTAAGCTAACTTATGATGTTTTTTTTGACAGGAGGCTCGTTATTTATCCATATGGTGAAGGAAGGGGCAATCACCATGTTTCCGTATACTTAGCCTTGGCTGAGACCAATTCTTTGCCGGTCGATTGGGAGTTCAATGCCATATTCACCATCTTCCTCTATAACCAGATCTCAGACAAATATCTGTGTTTTAGTGAAACAAAGTCTGAATGGGGATTTACGAAATTTATCGGATAAATCAAGTGGATACCTTGTTGATGACACCTTAGTCCTTGGGGCTGAAGTTTTTGTTCTTAAAACACAACGACAACGAGTCGTCGAGCGTGTGACTATACTGGAACCGCCAACTTATAAACACACACACGATTGGAAGATCACAGAATTCTCTAAATTGAAAGATGTTTGGGCTTCTGAAGAATTTCCTTTGAGGGGTTACAATTGGTATATTTCTTATGTTTCCATTAATTTTACTATGTCGAATGTGTCTTTAATTTCTCATTATGTATTAAACTTATATTATTTGTATACATAGGAAGATGAAGTTATACCCGAAAGGAGATTTCAGTTCAAAGGACCTCACTGTGAGAATAGGTTTGGTATGTGTTAGTGCTGATACATTTGCCGTTCATCAAAAAATTAGGGCAGAGTCTATTATGCGACTAAAACGCAAGCCGGATGCAGAAACACACGAATTTGGAAATTGTAAGTTGTCTGTACTACGAGGTTTTTTCATGATTATGTTCTAGAATATGTTGAATATTTTACAAATATAATACTATTTTTTTCGTTTTTTTTTACAAATTCCCATTGGTTTACATCTTCGGATACAACTTCGAGGACTTCAGCTATCAGTGGATACAACTTCGAGGACTTCAGCTATCAGTCTCGTCGGAAAAGATTTCCTTGCTGGTGAATGTTGCATCGTTCAGGTGGAAATTTCAGTGCAAGTCATTGTGTAGACAATGATTGGATACAAATTTCATCACTAAATTAAATGCTTGCGTCGAAATTCTTCTTTTTTATTTTATTTTATTTTTCACTTACGATAGTATGCGGCATGGTTAAATTATTTAAGTTAACTTGTGGAAATTCTTCTTTCTTTTTCCCATGCACATTATTTTCACCTCCTAATTTATTTTTGCAAATTAAATAAATAAATTAGATATGTACAGTACAACTACGCGTACAAGGCACATTTAATATAACATAATAGTCCCATGTTGATCAAGTACAAATTTTGGTCACATCATCCGAAATTTAAATTAAAATCGAAATTGTCGTCTCGCAGTACATTCTTTTGGTAATACAACACTTTTTTTTTTCCTTTTGACAATTCAATTTTATTTTTCTAAACTAAATAATGAAAAATAATAATTTAATTGCGATAAAATATCAGATCTATAATTAAAAAAAATAAGAATAAAAAGAAAAATAATTCAAATGAAGCACAAGGTTATGGAAATAATGACCAATCACCCCTATCTTGGTGACGTGGACAATTATCCGGGTGGGTAGTACTTAAAACCCTGCCCGTTTAGCTTCTTCGGGTAGCTCTATTTGGAAGCCCATTTGATCAATTTAATTTTTTAGCCTTCTAGGGGAATTAATTATTAATAATTAATATATTATTAATATATAATATATTAATAATTAATATATTAATAATATATTAATAATATCGGAGGGGTCTTGATGCAAGAGGGGCATCCGATCGCCTTCGAGAGCCGAAAGTTCAATGAGGTGGAACGGCGCTACACAGTCCAAGAGAAGGAGATGACCGCCATCATCCATTGCCTTCGAGTATGGCGGCACTATCTACTAGGCGCACCGTTCGTGGTCAAGACCGACAACGTTGCCACGAGCTACTTCCAGACGCAGAAGAAACTCTCGCCAAAGCAAGCACGGTGGCAAGACTTTCTAGCGGAGTTCGACTACGTTTTGGAGTACAAACCGGGGAAGGCAAACGTTGTGGCCGACGCATTGAGTAGAAAGGCCGAACTCGCAACCATTAGCTCGACAAGGGGGAACTTGGCCGACATGATCCGAGAAGAGCTCGAACATGATCTGATGGCCAAGGAGCTAATCCGACTCGTCAAGGAGGGCAAGACGAGGCAATTTTGGGTAGAGGATGGCCTACTCTACACGAAGGGACAACGACTCTTCGTTCCGAAGTGGGGCAGCTTGAGGAAGGACCTCATAAAGGAATGTCACGACACCAAGTGGGCGGGGCATCCGGGCCAAAGGCGGACAATGGCGTTGCTCGAGACGGCCTACTTTTGGTCTCACATGCGGGACAGTATCGATGCGTACATGAAGACTTGTCTTGTGTGCCAACAAGACAAGGTGGAGAATAAGCAGCCGGCAGGGTTACTTGAGCCACTCCCAATCCCCGAGCGACCAAGGGAGTCGATCTCAATGGACTTCATTAGTGTCTTGCCGACGTCCGAGGGGGCCGGATCTATCATGGTGGTGATAGATTGCTTTTCAAAGTACGGGACGTTCATAGCTTGCACGAGGGATTGCACCGCGAAGGAGGTAGCCCGGTTCTTCTTCAAGAACGTCGTCAAATATTGGGGACTACCGAGGAGCATCATAAGCGATCGAGACCCACACTTCACGGGGCGATTATGGACGGAACTTTTCAAGCTTTTGGGGTTCGAACTTTGCTTCTCGACGAGTTTCCACCCCCACACCGACGGGCAAACGGAGAGGGTGAACGCCCTACTTGAGTGCTACTTACGGCACTTCATGGGAGCCAATCAAAAAGATTGGGCGAAGCTCCTCGACGTGGCTCAATTTTCTTACAACTTGCAGCGGAGTGAAGCCACGGGGAGGAGTTCATTCGAGCTTTCAACGGGACAACAGCCACTTACGCCACACACTTTGGCTACGACAACCGATGGAAGAAGTCCCTAAGCATTAAAGATGGCTAAGGGAACAAGCCGACTTAGCCCGGGCGTGCCTTGAGAAGGTTAGGCGACGAATGAAGAAATGGGCGGACGACAAACGACGACCACGGGAATTCGACGTTGGGGCCCAAGTGATGGTGAAACTATTGCCCCAACAATTCAAGGCATTGTGGAGCATGCGCAAGGGACTTGTGCGGAGGTACGAAGGACCATTCCCGGTGATCGCCAAAGTCGGAAAGTTTGGTATCGCCTAGAACTTCCAAGTTCTTTAAAAATCCACCCGGTCTTCCACGTGAGTATGTTGAAGCCTTATCACGAAGACAAGGAAGGCCCGAGCCGAGGAGAGTCACACCGAGCACCACCCATTATGACTAAGTCATATGATAAAGAGATCGAAGAAGTGCTCGGCCGACAACTAAAGCGACGTAGGGGTGTTCCCCCGAGTATCCAATACCTCATCAAATGGAATGGACTACCTGCATCCGAGGCAACGTGGGAGACTAAGGAAGACTTGTGGCAATTTCAAGATCGTCTCCACTTGTTCGAGGCAACGAGGACGTCGTCGGATTAGGCGGGGGAGGATGTCACGGCCCGCTAGTTTTGGCCCAACCCTTTGCCAGTTTCCCTTGGGTTGGGAGGTTAAGAAGCCCAAGATTGAACCCAAATAGGGTTAGGCCCAAGTTGGCCCAAATGTATAGAGGAGTAGAGATTCTTGGAAGATTCTAGAAAATATTCTAGAACCCTCCCTTGTAGATATCTTGTAGGAATTCTTTGGAGTGTTTTATTGAACCACTCCCAACCGTTACATCAAATAGATCTCCACCGTCCATTGAGGAGGTGGTCTAGTATAATTAGAGGTAGGGTCCTCATTTGTAACCATCCAAGAAATCCAACAAGCACTTAAGCAATAAAAGTACTTTCCTACAAACTCTCTTATCTTCTGAGGTTCTTCCTTCGTTTCCATCACTTAGCATTCGCAACACTTTCGGGAGAGGCTGACTTAGCTATCGCGAGGGGCGAGAAGGAGCTAAGGCCGCACGGTTCATTGTTAAGGGAACAAGTCCGTGACTGACTTAGTTATCGCGAGGGGCGAGAAGGAGCTAAGGCCGCACGGTTCATTGTTAAGGGAACAAGTCCGTGACAACGTGTATGCTTTTATCACTGCGACACTAGCAAGTTTAACGTCCCTAATTTTGGACGAAATTAGAAGGGAACACACGTCACCATCCGATGAGAATCCAATAGATGTGGCCGCGAGGGAGAGTGCGGCGGCGATCGGAAAATCTGAGGAGGCGAACAAAAACCTGGGCAAAATGGTTTGTGAGTCGGTGTCCTCTATGGTGAGGTCTACCCACTACTTGACCCTTGCTTATGGGGTTTCTTCAGCGCTGCTTTTATACTACACATGAAAAAAAGATCATGGGGCTGGGCCATCTGACACCAAGCAAAGTGATAAGGGTGAAACATCTGGCACTAAAAAAGATGAGACAGTTGGCATAACGAGAGATGTAAATGGCAAGGGAAAGGTAGGAGATCTTCCAACCAACGACTGTGATCAGTGGCGGATCCAGTATTTTTGCCAAGGGGGTTCGAAATTGTAGAATAAAAAATTAAAATATCCCTTTATAAAAATAGTGGACCAAAAATTTATAATTTATAAATTTTAGGTGAATTGTGGAAATATTTAAAGACCAAAAAGTTACCTACTGGTTCCCGTCAAAATACTGGAACGACGCTTGGTTAAGCGTAACAACACCGCCGTGGGTCAAGTGCTGGTTCAATGGGCTCACTTGCCGGAAGCCGAGGCCACGTGGGAAGATGCTGCCGAGATTCTCCAACGCTTTCCTCAACTTCAACCATGAGGGCATGGTTGTTCTTCATGGGAGGAGGTATGTAACGACCATAACTACCAGCTGAGCTGGCAGTTAAGGAAACGACGTCGTTACCGAAGAAACACACCCTCACTTAAAGAATCGCATTTTCCTTTCACGACTATTCAGTTTTCATATTTTTTGTATTAGTTATTAGTCCACCAATGAAGCGCCGCCACGTGGCGTGGCTGCTGTATAAATAGCTGAACTAACTGAATTAGTTGGGAGCTAAGACGTGATTTGTAATTCTGAAAATTGCATGAATAGATCGTGAGATAATCTCCCCAAAATCCCCAAACCCTCTGGTTCAATCGTAACAATTGCACACCCTAGACCATGGCTACATCCGCCAAGAGATGGCACCAAGGGAGATGTAAAGGGCAAGGGAAAGGTAGGAGATCTTCCAACCAATGAAGGTGAAACATCTGGCTGCAGCAGTGAGACGACGGAGGCACGTGTCAAAAATGAGGAGGATGAAACATCTGGCTGGAGCAGTGAGATGGAGACACGTGGCAAAGAGGAAGAGGACGCGGATGATGATGATGGCACAGAGGAGAAACAAGCTAGCAACCAATAAGCGTAAGACACACATTGATCTGATTACAGTACCATAGTAGAGTTTTTTTTTTTTTTTTTTGTCGTTTTCTGATAACTACTGCAAGTGAGCTACTACGTGTGTTTGATGCTTATAAGGTTTCTTGAGATTTAGAGTTTTATCTTTTTCTTGATTAAATTTAGTATCTAATTACTACAACATATATAGTTATAATAATTTCCTATTGGTTGGTTTTTAAGATCTGGGAATATATATAGCTAATATTTTTAGACCTTCTAATTAGCTTGCTAAGATAAGATTAGTTAAAATAAAATAAAATTATCTAATTGAATTCAATTGTTATATTATTAGACGTTGGAAGATCTAATAAAAAATTAATAGACTTAAAAGGATTATTAGGAGCATGAGTGATGGAATCTTGGCTTCTGTCTCTGATTATGTTATAACTTATGTTCGTAAAGTAAGTATATTATATAAATAGAGCATTAAATAAATATTATTTCATAGATTCAACCTAGTAGTACAACTTTTATTTTGTAAACAACAGAGGCACAAACAACTTTTACATTTGGAAAACACATTCCTAATTTTCCAGTCCAAATCACGAAATTATATATCATCCCTTATCTGGTGACGTGGGCGATGAACGAGTCAAACTCAAGTCTAGAAGCGCCGCCTTCCTCCACCGCCCCACGAACCACCGCCGCCAGCTCCTCCGCCCTCTTCCTAATCCTACCGCCTTCCTCCGAACCACCCATCAACCTCCGCACAACATTCTCGACGGTAGAAGCTTCCACCTCCTCACCGCCGTTAGTCCACTCCCTCACAGCCAACCCCATCTTAAGTATCTCCGTCACAAACACCGCGTTCGTCGGCTGGTCGGAGTGCATCGGCCACGCCGCCATAGGCACCCCCATAGTTATACTCTCTATGCAAGAATTCCACCCACAATGGCTCATAAATCCCCCCACCGACTCATGCGCCAGAATCTCCGGCTGTGGGGCCCAGTCTCTAACCACCAGCCCAACTCCGTCAACCCTCCGTACAAAACCAGACGGAAGCTGGATTTCCCGTCTTTCTTCTCCGTCAAAGACGTTACCTTTATCAGCTTCTCTCAGAACCCAAAGAAACTTATGTTTGCTCTGTTCTAACCCATTAGCAAGAACTTCGATTTCTTCGTCGGTCAATGTAGTCGTCGTCCCGAAAGTTACGTACATCACAGATTTCGGTTCCTGTTTATCCAGCCACGTCAGACAGTTGTGTTTCTTCTCCGACGAAGAGAATTTTGTCGCCGGAATCAACGGGCCGATAGCCCAGCTTTTCCGGTTTCCGGCGACTTCTTCGGACTCGAGTATATCCAAGAAAGGCGCCTCCAGAAGCCGGCACGTGTTGTACAGATCTCCCTTTCGGTAACCCAACGCCTGATTCTGCGAGAAAATGAATCTCATAAGATCTTTGGTTATGCACGAAGCTACAGTGGGGAGTTCTTTGGGGCTTTTCAACGAACACTTCTTGCCCATGAGCTCGTGCACGAAGAAAACCTGGAAGAATCCCGACAGACAGTTGAACGCGTACGATTCGGCGTTGGGTATCGAGACGATATCCTCGACGACAGAAGCTATGAGTGGGTCGTGAATAACGACGACCCTCCTGTGCTTTTCCGACAAGGTCCGCATGAAGTCGGCGAGTGGTTGCCGGAGGTTTAAAGTGGCGTCGAAGGCTGGCTGGAGCTGCGCCGGGAACTTGTTGGACGAGTTGGGGTTGGGAGGAGGAGAGGGGAACGGCGGAATCGGGAGGTCATGGAAGTGGATTCCGGCGACGTCGTTAGGGTTTAGGCCGTTGGACCGGAGTTGGGCCTGGCGGTTGTGGACGGCGGAGCCGACGTAGTGGACGGGGATTGAGTAGGAGGAGATGAGGCAGGAGAGCTGCAGCATCTGGTTCAGGTGGCCTTGTGCCGGAAACGGGACTATGATTACTGTAACTTGAGCTTGTTCATCAATGGCGGCGGCATGATTCAAACTTCCCATTGATCAGTAGTTGGGGGAATTTTCTGAATTTTAATTTTCTAATTTTCTTCTTAGGCAAAATGAGTTATAATTTTGAATACGGTATGGATATTAATATATAGAGAGTTCCACACGTACAAAACACTTTCCTACCAAATTTTTTTTAGGAATCAAATTTAGACTCAATGACCTATTTTAATAGAAAAGTCGGATGTCATAGAATGATTGACAAGTGGATAATTTAAATAAAAATATAATTAAGATTTAGAAAAAAAAAAAAAAACCAGCATAACCCGTAACCCCTCTAACCTAATTATAATCATCGTGATTTATTAAGAGTTAAAGACTTATGAGTGCCACATGTCAAAAAAATTAGTGGAATCCGATTTATATTAGGGGCGTGCTAAATCCCACATTAAAATTTACTAAATCCCACACATAAATTAAAAAAAAAAAAAAAAAAAAAAATCTTCTCTCTACTCATATTCTCTCTAAAATAATTTTATCTAAGTCACTCAAAATTCATTAATTTTTTACGTGAATAATCCTAAAAAACGAGTCCCGTTTTATTTAATATTTATTCAAATTCATTAAGTTTTTTTAATTATTCAAATTCATATCGATTCGGATTTTTTCCTCAAAATCCAACTTTATTTTAGTTTGAACATGTAAATATTTTTGTCAAATTCGAACTTCGAATGCTAGCTAGGGACGTTATTAGTGTGTGATTTTGTGAAAAAATTAGGGAAAAAGAAGAAGTGTGTGGGAGTAGAAGAAAAGATTTTTAAGAGATAAATATTTTTTTTTTATGTGCGTGTGTTTATAAAAATAGTGTGGGAGATAGCGCTTCAGTTTATATTATATATATGTAGATATATACAGAGATATAGATTTTTTTTTATATATATATATATATATATATATATATATATATATATATATATATATATATATATATATATATATATATATATATATATATTAAATAATTTATCGTGTACGCAATTTAATTATGAATAATGCCCATGCTCGTACATAAACCAACCCTATCTAGGATCATTTACTTTTTATTTATGAGAGACATTAAATAGTGAGAGTCAGAATTCACATGTCACGTTTTCATCTTTTTATTATTTATTTTTTTTGCATTTTCTTTGCAATCAACATGAATTTTTACTGTTAAGTGTTTGTGTGTTTATGAATGGTAAAAATAATTTATTGGTGTTCGAAAAATCCCATCAATCATATGCAACTTGTCGTACATTGGATCCGTTTTTATTAATTTAAAAAAAAAAAAAATTCAAATCTTGTAGTATCTCTATTATGAGTGTGTTCACAAGCCAAGAATAATAAATAAAATTGGAACTGTGATTGAATAGGAAAGAAGGAATCAAATTTACCCTAGTAGAAAGATGCTCACACATAGGGGTGGAATTAAAATGTAATTTCCGAATCTCGCCAATTGTGAGCTGGAAATATCTAAATTTGGATCAATATCTTTTATTTCGATTTCCGATTTTTCTGATATTTTTTTTCTGGATCGGAGTTGGAATTGTATATAAAATTATCGAAAATTCCTATTTTTGATGCAATTTTAGTTCAGAATATATTTTTGAAATATATAATATAATAAAAATATTTATTTATATAAAAATAATGTAGGGCCTTGAATTTTTATTTCCGATTTTTATATTATTAGTATTTTATAGGTAGGAGGATGTGTACACGTGGTCCCAAAATAAAAAATTGAACCAATCATATACAAGAGCCGATTTCATTTAAAGTCACGTGACTCCCACACCAAGAATTCAGTGTGCATTAATGCTGGAAAATGATCCAATCATTCAATTTATATTTCCCCCTATGGCCGGCAATCAATTTATTTAATGTATAGTGAATGATGTTTCACTATCTTCTTGGATACTTGAACGAATCATTTTTTGCATATTTTATTATTTAGTCCTTCTAATAAGAAAATGCTCTTTACGGGCTAATAAGTGTTATTTACCGTTCAAAGTAAAAAACAGTTTATCTCTCTAAAACCCCTAAAATTCGAAATTCTCTCCAATTACCCCCCATTCCAAAAATTTCAGAAAATTTTATTTTTTTCGAAAAATTTCGAAATCAACCAAAATCGAGCTTGGGCTTCGATTTTTTCAGGTAATTTCAACACCTACATGTGTTATATGCAATGGGTAACTCGATTTTGCAACCAATTTCATGTTTAAAAGCCCTACAAATCGATTTGTAGGGCTTTTGAATTTTTCGGATGTTAGAGCCAAAGCGCCCAAACCGGGCGCTG